ACAAATGTATTAAAGTTAATTTCGATGTGCTAGATTTCCATATTCTAAAATTGTAACGTATTAAGCTTAGTAAAACTGAACGTTACATCCGAAATGTTGTAACTTCGGGAGTCTTGCCAACAATAAAGGACAACTTCAGTCGTTACAAGTAACTGTCTTACCTCGAGTTGATATTAGTTATCCTTTAAGGTTTATAAGCTTTACAGTACATAATGTCAGTTTGAATGTTCCATATATTAACAAATAAGTTTTAAGTCATTTAAATTAAATCAAAACATAGAAGGTCGTGTATAATATGACATACCGGTAAACAACACCACTATTGTTGTTGACAGGAAAATCATATTGTATAATAATATATGTGGATGTGATTTTAAACACGTGGTACTACTTTTAAATAAAAACTGAGACCGGTGTGTACTTAATAACATCATAAAAAAAATCAGATCCATCACCATCAGACATGGCGATATAGCCCCAGGTATGAGATAAATTACACAACGTTTGACAGCTACTTACATATATTATGTAAATTTAACATATAGAAATGACCAGACACTTGCAAAAAAACCATTGTCTCGCCTCTGAACCAAATTGTTAATATCTATAATAGATATACAAACGTGGTATATCAGATATTTGTTAGATTTGTTAACTTCTTTAATTAAAAATCGTACCAGATGATTTAGAGTATTTAAAAATAATTTATGGGGTTTTTGTTGGTTTTTTTTTGTTTGGTTGTTGTTTTATTTTCGTCAATCACGTGGGGATCACGTGGCTTAGTGGGTAAGACGCTGGCTCGCTAGCCTGGAGGGCGGGTGTTAGATCCTTGCATTGGCGGGGAAAGTTCATTCAGATTTTCCGGCGTGGTTTCCCCTTGTCAGTGATGCAGGATGGAGGGCCTGACAAGGACAGCTGTCTAGTCGTTCGGATGGGTCGAAAAACCGAGGTCCCGTGTACAAATTGGCGTGCACGTAAAAGATCACTTGGCAGTTGGAATTCGATATAAGAGTAGGCCGTTACGCCGTTGCCCGGGCAAAATTTCCTTCATAGCACACTGTATGGCGTATGCCCGTCTTCATTAGCCCAGGTTAGGAGCAGAACAGTAGGACGTTAAACCCCATTTCATTTCATTTTCATTTCAAGAATTAAAATCTTTAGGTGAATCTGGAGGTAAAGTTCTTTTTCTTATAAAACATAGGTAACATTTTCCCCAAAGAACTCTATATGGGTTGTTTCTCAATAATGAGTTACATTAAAACCATTAAAACAACAAGTTAAAATAAATACTTACAGTGACTAAAAGTGGTGTTAAGAGTACCTATATATATGACTGCATGTTTAAAGGAGCTAAATCGCTAATATTTGGGACCTAGAAATTGACACAAATGGGATAGAGAGAGAGAGAGAGAGAGAGAGAGAGAGAGAGAGAAATGGGGTTTAACGTCCACACGACACAAACTAGGTCGTTTCGGGACTAACATATGGTTTTTAATTTTATTTCAATAATTCGCTTGCGCATAGGGGTCTTTAGCAGTGGGAGGAAACCGGAGGACCCGGAGAAAACGCACGAGGTTGGACAGGCGACCCTACTCCTTGTCACGTACAACTAGGGATTCGAAACCACGCCAGTCGACTCAATGACAGACTTTATGATACAGCGCGCGCACGCCAACCATTCAGCCATCCAACCCCCCTTGACACAAATGGACCGCAACGTATATAATAATGTAATATGAATGTATATAAACTGATTTACATTCAATCGTTTCTGTCTTTACTCTAATTTCTAATCCGTTATGTGCGGCGAAATATGCGAGAAGTCTCAATCGAATGGCAATCTCTAGTGTCTGGTTATACCAGTCTACCCCCGACAGAATTTATTCCGCATGCTCTCCAGATAACAATATGGCAATGAAACGCATTATGATACACGATTCGTGTACCAATGGTAAAATATTTATTTTGTCTTAAATATTGGATATCAGAAGCCCATCTTTTTCCCGTAAGATCACAACATCAATGTTGATTTAAATTGACAAATAATTCGTGTTTTCAATGTCAAAGACGTTGGATGTTATTGAGTTAGAGACTTAGCTACTTTAAATCCGTTTCTTATTTCTATCAAATGTAATGAACTTTTCCCCATAAAACTATATCTGTACTAGCTTGATAATGTTGAGAAAATACTCTTTGAAACATCTATCGCTTTAAATACACAAGTAGCCGTCTTCCATAAGTATATGTGTTTTTTGTTTGCATATATGATTTGTTTCTCAATAATGAGTCACATAACCGTTAAAAAATCTGTAGTCGGTTCTGAGGGTATATTATGGGAAAGTTTTTTCATAGCCACGTTTCTTATTCTTAAAGAATGTAACAAACTTTCTTTTCTAGACCTATATATGGCGTGTTTCTCAATAATGAGTCACATAACCGTTAAAAAAACTAAGTTAAAATAAACACTTAAAGATTTAAAGTAACAAACCGTGGTGTGACATGTACCTATATCCTGCACTGGCCGTTAAAGTTCATCGAGATTTTCCGACGTGGTTTCCCTTTGTCATTGTTGCAGGACGGAGGGGAGAGTCTGACAAGGACAGCTGTATAGTCGTTCTGATGGTACGGAAAACCGAGGTACCGTATACACATTGGCGGGCACGTAAAAGATCCCTTGACAGTTGGAATTCGATGTAAGAGTAGGCCGTAGTGTCGCTGTTCGAGCTAAATTTCCCTCATAGCACATTGTATGACGTATGCCTGTCTTCATTAGCCCAGTCGAAGCAGAAAAGTAGTACGCTAAACCCCATTTCATTTGTACCTATAGGACTACATGTTTAAATCCAGATCGTCGGCTGTACATACATACTTTCTTAATTAAAATATTTGTGGGTCACATTTGTTAGTAATTATATGTTAATGTTGCGCGTTGATATTTGTCCTTGTCGAGTTTGTATTTGTCATTTAAATAAGGCCATGGCGATTGCAGTCAAGACAAAGAAAATTGGTTCCTCGGTCGCCGATCAATATAAACACTTTGCATTTGAGAGGTTCGCATAGCATACCAATATTTGTCGTCCGGCCACGTTGCAGAAGAGTTAGTATAAAAACAGCATGGATATAGAGAATCGATCCTAGCACATGATTATAATTATCATGTAGGTTTCTTTTTGCCAGGGTTTCTAGAATAGATCTGGACATTTGTATATACGGTGTCTGATTTAGGACACACAAAAAAAAATAATATCTCGAGCGCTCGAGATACTAAGTCGAGCGCTTGAGATAGAAAGTCGAACGCTTGAGATACGAAGTCGAGCGCTTGAGATAGTTAAGTCGGTCGCTCGAGATAATTAAATGGAAGATAACATCGGGTGTACCCTTTGTTCTTACTGAATAGCGCCACTTCAAAATTATTCATCCAGTTATGAATACTAATACTGTCTTGATTTTATTATGCGCAATGCCTTGATTAATCTGGATTTTTATCGCCGAGGACATCAACTTGTACCACTCGGCAATCTCTGGTAAAAACAAATAATCGTTTGACACAATGCAGTACCAATTTATCATCATTTGTCAGATGATGGCATTTGGTCGACAATAAAAGATGACTGGGAATTAAAGCGACACCAATAACTAACAATTAGTTACAAGGTTAAACAACTTAATTACTTTTAACAAACACCTGTGACAGGCAACCTTACAATATTAAGTAACCCGAATGACTATTATACACGTCCGCTTTAGTAGCCATTATTCAAATATCACCAAAATCAAATATTACGTCACTTCGACTTAATCAGTCATGTCAAGATTCTAGAATGAGTTTTAAATTTCCCTTCGGCAACAAAGATAACGCACATGAAGTAAAATAATGATTCATGCATGCCCTACAGTAACATGCAATGATGAGTCATTCATACAGAGAGGGGAAGAATTTGCATTTTTTCTTTTAAAACTGCTTTTAATGCAACTAAATCGATATCATTTCACACATTTTGAATAAGGGGCTAATTCATCAATGTGCCATTTAGAGAGCACAATAAAATTTTAAAATATATTAAGAGCTCGTCGGTAAAAGAACACGTTGTTAAAACATTATGGCATTTGGGTGACAATGACTTAATTGTTCTTGAAATATGATCATCTAAAGATTATAAAGACATTTAAAGATGGCGACTCTTGGAGATTCAGTTTGAACGACATTCACGTTAACAAAATAAAAAGTCTCCGAGCCTCTCGACCTTTCCTACTTGACTACCCTTGGTAAGAGGTAGCTGTCGTATTGCTAGATAATCTGAGTCTATAGTACGTCTACAGTAGGTGACCGTGACACAATCCTAGCGCAATTTGAGTCTTATTCCTTACGAATAGTAGCTAACGTAGTTGTGGAACTAGGGGCGTGCAGAGGTGGGCCATTTGTTAAAGGGGCTATTACCGCCATAGGTGATTTGGGTAATGGTCGCCCATAGGTTGACATCGATATTGCTCACAATATGTTGCCAGCTAATTCACCCCACCCATGCATTACAGAGATACGGTACTGGGCGATTTGTAAAGAATCTACAATGCGTTTGGTGGAGAAACGGTGGTTTGTTTATAAGCCCGGATCCGCCAAATGACACGTCAGTAACATTGGCTTGAAACCAGGCAGGTGTCTATTGATGACGATCAACAAATCTAAAGATGGCCGCCCATGTCAAAGTAGCAGACGACAAAAGACACGTGAGTAACATGGCCTTAACACTGGTGCTTATTGCCATCTCATTGAAAAGGTACCCCGTTCCATTGACAGGGCGATTTAGCAAATTTACACGAAGTCCCCTTCGAACAAAAAGTTGAAGACAGGTTGCCTGATTAGCCGAAGCTGACTAAAACTAAGGACAAATAGACTTAACCCGGTCCAACATAGTTCGTCATAGCTCAGGGGTAAATACTTGAAGGTGGTCAAACATTTGACAGAACCATGAAAATGATATTGACATTTCGGACAATCTTACCTCAAACATTGCCTCTATGTGTCACTCTTAACCAACAGAAACAACAGTCAGACAGCGGTATCACAGATTTTCCTTGAATTACAAAATATCATTTGCAATTGAAGAAAGCATTAACAGTCCGGTTCGTATTTCCCCGTCTGAAAGATGCTTGGCTCTAAACCTAGAAACGTCATTGGTTCAGATCCAAAATTTTATCCCCAATCTCTCTTAACCATCAGGGTACAAGTGGACGGAGAAGTGCTTTAAGGGCATTTCCACATCAACTTTGAACAGGCAAACTTGACGAATCCGAAGCTATCCCGAAAAAATAGGACTCGAAGACTTAACCCAGTGGTCGTTTCACCAATTCTAGTTTTATTTTCCTTTCGTGACTTTTATTCGTAATGTTATGGAATTTTTTTAACTTTGTGCTTCTAGTAGCTAGGGACCAGGTCTTAAGAGGAATGGTCCCCATTTTTCACGTAATATCCAGCTTGGGATGAAAAAAATATATATCTGACGATGTGAAACATCTAACCACCAGACGATAAACGATACGCAATCACGTTAACTCTGTTGTTTTGTTCAACACCAAGATTTGGAAATGACAAACAAACACATTTTATTTGAAATAGAAAAAAAAAAATACATGGCCTCTCTTTCTTAGACGACGCAATAAGTTTCTTTTTTAATTCCTCTTTCGTTTGTATTTCGTGGTTCACACGACGTATATGAAATAGCTGCAGAATTACTTGGCTTCGTTAAGTAAATACAAATGAGCTATAAGGAATGTTGAACATCTTCACTTAAGCGTATTATTTTAAAAAAATAGTTCAATATTTAATCATAAAATAATGAACAGTCCAAATTTGAAAAGCCGAAAAGCTCAGATGAATGATAATCGTTTGAAGATTGCCGATACAAACGGTCCTCTGCCAGGTTACTAAACTTTACGATCACTTCCAAAAACTCATCTGATTTGTGGACATAAAATTATGACTTTATCTATTTGTATGCCTGTTTAAACATATTTAGTATAAAATAAACATAATTTTGAAACAAATCTTTCATCGTTCTAGATCATATAAGGCTTTTAAGCTATTCAGATTTAAATTTTCTACACTGTTTCAGGTGGGAAAATTAAACATGGTTGAAATATCTTGTGCTTGAGATGTCATGTAATGTTATGTATATTTTATAAGCCCTATGTACAGGAGTACATATACATTAAAACGGTAAATATGGGGACATAATATTTACGTGATCAGTAAAACAGAGAACAAGAGAGAGAGAGAGAGAGAGAGAGTCAACCGAATGCAGCGAAAAGTTTTGCTACAGAAATGTACACAGCAATCCGAGAGAGAGAGAGAAAGAGAGAGAGAAAGAGAGAGAGGGATGGGGTTTAACGTCTACTCGACACAAACTAGGTCATTTCGGGACTAACATATGGTTCAATTTTATTTCAATAATTCGCTTGCGCGTAGGGGTCTTTAGTCGTGGTGGGAAACCGGAGGTCCCGGAGAAAACCCACGAGGTTGGACAGGCGACCCTACTCCTTGTCACGTTCATCCGGGGAATCGAAACCACGCCAGCTGACTCAATGGCAGACCTTATGATACAGCGCGCACGTCCTAATCATTTGGCCATTCAACCGCCCCGAAAACAAGAAAAAAACATAAAAACCAATAATGTCAAGACGAACAAGATGAATACCGCCTGGGACTCAGTTCCCGTTCTAATAAAAAAAAACACGGTGAGAAAGCAACGAAAACTGTTTTTCTTCGATTTCTACATTGCAGTGGTTTTTGTTTTTGTTTTTGTTTTTTTTAAAATAAAAGTTCCCATTTTTTATCGAATGTTGTTGGTGTGGTCTAGAATATCGAGCTTCGACCACTAGCTGGCGTGTCTGTCATCCTTGGCTTGCAGTCAGTCGTCTGTTCGATCCCTGGCGTGAGAAATGAAAATGAAAGGAAATGGGGTTTAACGTCCTACTGTTCTGCTCCTATCTGGGCTAATGAAGACGGGCATACGCCATACAGTGTGCTATGAGGGAAATTTTGCCCGGGCAGCGGCACTATCGCCTACTCTTATATCGAATTCCAACTCCGGTTTCCTGCCAGAGCAAAGACCCTAGATGCCAAAGTGTACACGGGACCTCGGTTTTTCGTCCCATCCGAACGACTAGACAGCTGTCCTTGACAGGCCTTCCGTCCTACACCACTAACAAGGGAAACCACGTCGGAAAATCCCGATGAACTTTCTCGGCCAATGCAGGACAAGGGTTACAGGTTACCCACACACCAAAGCGTATAAAACGTGAGAACTAGAGTAACATCGGTTTCAGAAGAATCAAATATTTAATACGAAATACAAAAATCATTTTACTAAAGAAAATAAACCATAAACTTATTGACCTCTAATAAAAATATTTAGATGAGAAAGCCAGTATTTTTATAACGTATTACCGTTCTGTATGTAGGTCATATGATTAATCATCTATGCCTATATATATTAGATTAAGATGAATAATATTGAAGGCAAAAGAAAACATGAATCCGGCTTCATGTAGATTAGAACGCTTGGGAGCCGCGGTGACTCAGTACGCAAGGTCCTGGCTCGCTAAACAGGAGATCTCCGGGTCTCTTCCAGTTTCCGAGCGGTTTCCCTTGGAAGTGGAACTGGATGGAGAGCCTGACAAGCAACAATTGGCGTGCATGTAAAAGAACCCATGACAGTTGGAATTCGATATACATTTCCCTCATGGCATACTGATTGATATATGTCCGTCTTCAATATCCCGGTTGGTGCAGAAAAGTAGGACGTTAAACCCTATTTCATTTCTTTATAAGTATAAACTTTAGTAATTGTTAACTTTTCGAATGCATTTGGTTTCAAACAATCAAGACTTCAATTGCGTTGTGATGCCCTTTAATAGACATCATAGAGAGAGAGAGAAATGGGGTTTAACGTCCACTCGACACAAACTATGTCATTTCGGGACTAACATATGGTTCAATTCTATTTCCATAATTTGGGGGGGGGGGGGGGGAAACCGGAGGACCCGGAGAAAACCCACGAGGTTGGACAGGCGACCCTACTCCTTGTCACGTACAACCTATGAATCGAAACCACGCCAGTTGACTCAATGACAGACTTTATGATACAGCGCGCAAGTGCTAACCATTCAGCCACCCAACCCCCTAATAAACATCATGGGTAGCCAAACATCATAAATTGTATTATTGTGCGTACTCAAGAATCAAGTGCGCATTATGTAACACAAATTTTATACACAGGTCTCTCTGATCAATGAATATAAATTTCTGCGGATCCATGACGACCAAAGATCGTTGTTTCATTTATGAACCCGTATCTCCCTTAAGAAACTGCTAATTCATTTATAAACTTGTATCTCTCGAGAATCTGCTCATTCGTTTCGCATAAAACACCTAGCGACCGTGTTGAACCTATTTAATACGTCGTGTTCATCTTTGGCCATTTTGTTTATTATTGTCTCCCAAGATCCATAAAACACTCGGTGTCCCGTGTAAATAATTCTCTAGTGTGAAATCATTAGGACAACATCGTCTGACACATAAATCAGACAACTGAGCTGCCAAACTTGTTTATTATCCATTCATCCGTAACATAATCACTGAAATAAATATAGACTTGAAGAAATGACTAACGCATGGGTTAAGTAGCGTGACGACATTGGAACATGTCGATGCATTGGGAGTGCATATACATTATGATAAACCGGTAGCTCGGAGATATAATAGATAATATAATAGAGTGGGTTAAAAAAGTGTATGTTCTAACACTTATGATCAAATAGATAGACTTACTATGATAAACAAAATGTCAGATTGCACCCGATAGTTGTAAGCCCTTGGGGCAATCTATTAGGGTGGTCATATTACGGATAGCAAACATTTACGAATATTGATCTAAAAATTAAAAGAGACGCACAATTTGACCTGATCAAAATCAAATATTTGGGAGTTTTTCAAGTGTGAATTATTGAAGTATCCCGCGGCATAGATATTCGTGCATGACACTCATCGAGTAATAACACAAAGAACAGTTTATGTTGCATAGGGGAGCCGCGGTAACTTATTGAGTGAGGCTCGCTCCCGGTGTTGGCCGAGAACGTCCCTCCGGATTTTTTCCGGCATGGTTTCCCCTTATCAATGTTGCAGGATGGAGAGCCAAACAAGGACAGTACCTATCGTTCAGATTGGACGAACAAACTGAGGTCCCTTGTACAGATCGGTGTGGACGTCAAAGAACCACTGACAGTTAAAATTCGATACAAGAGTAAGTCGCAATTCCGCTGTCTGGGCAAAATATCCCCTCATAATACAGTGTATGGCTTATGCCCGTCTTCATTAGCCCAATCGGTGCCGACATATAAGACGTAAAACCTCATTTCAATTATGTCGCATCAGGGAAAAAAATCAAAATATTTATGTTACAAGTCTCTGTTTTAGACCTCGTGGGTTTTCACCGGGTCCTCCGGTATCCTCCCACCGCTACAGACCCCTATTTATACGCGCAAGTGAATAATTGCAATTAAATTGAACAATATGTTAGTCTCGAAGTGACCTAGTTTGTGTCGGGTGGGCGTTAACACCCCCTCTCTCTCTCTCTCCCTCTCTCTCTCTCTCTCTCTCTCAGTTTTAGCCGCTGTAATACAGATTGGGTGATTTAACAACGGCTCAACAGTAAATACGATCATATAAGATCACAGGTCAGGACCTTTAAGACTTGTAAAGAGGAGATGAAGTGACACTAAAACAACAATATAACATTATATATTCATCATGACAACTATTCAAGTCATGACAATACTGATACCCCCAAGCTGTTAATGATACCGATTAAGTTTCAATACGTCTTCCTTTGACCCCTCTATTACCCATTAAAGACCGCACGGTTCAATTAAATTATACACCGATACAATACAGACTTTAATAACAGTTTTAAATCTAAAGGATGGCAGATCGTCAACATGAGAACGTATTTTAATATCATCATAAAGGTCCCCGTGTACCTACCTACACGAAACGCCATAATTCTATTGAATACAATATTGTTACTAGGCGATGTTCGATTTATAGGATTCTCTAATACTTGATGAAGGACTGTGGAACATTAGTCTAAACGTCATTCAGTAATCAACAGAAATTGTATTTCCCAGAATTGTGACTTATGTATTTCACGGTTAAATTACTGAATTCGACTTAA